GTGTGTGTGTGTGTGTGTGTGTGTGTGTGTGTGTGTGTGTGTGTGTGTGTATATATAATTTTTATTAATATCTTAACTTCCGGGACTTTACTCAGGTGTTCATCAGCAATTTGTCAACCCGGAATCTCTGCTGCTGGAGGCTGTGAAGCAGGTGAAAGTCACCAACCTGGAAGATGACATCTTGGAGCTGCCAGAGGATGACCTGGCAGCAGCAAATATCCAGTAAGGAATTTACCCAAGCAATCACTGATAGTGTAGTGGTACACTCGCCTGACTTGTGTGCGGCCATTGTGGGATCGGTTCCCACTCAGTAACGGTGTGGATGTGGGTGTGAATGGTTGTTCGTCTCTATATGTGCCCTGACTGACAGCCAGATCAGGGTATAGTCTGCCTTTCGCCCGTAGTCAGCTGGGATAGCCTCTATCAACCCCCGCAACACTGTAGAAGATGAGCGGTGTTGAAAATGGATGGAAGGATGGATAATTTATCCAAGCAATTGTCTCACAATTGACATCGCTGAAGAATAGTTGATCGTCATAAGCCTAAAGTTATTTTACTGGTTCCATAATATTTTCCATCTAGGATTGAAGCAGAGGAGGCAGGTCAAAAGGAGAAACTGATTCTGTCAGAAGACTGTCAGTTGGTGACGGTGGTTGATGTGGTACCTGGCCGCCTGGAACTCACTACCCAGCACATCTATTTCTACGACAGCAGCCAAGAGAAAGACGAAGGTACGTCTGTTTGTGTTGTTGTTACAATTTTAGCTAGTAAAACTCTAAATAAACCTCTAAAAAAGGCTGAACAATCCTAATTTGAATCGACACCAAATTGTTCAAATGCCTATAATATTTAATTCATATAAATGCATAATCCATAGAGAGGTTTAGGATCATGAAAAAAATGGAATAAAATTCCCATAAAGTTATTCCAAAAATAAATCCTAGATCCACCCCTATATCCAAAGACACACCAAAAGCTTCTTCTCTCTCAAGTTTCATGTAGAATAGGTTTTTTTGCGTAACTTTGCCAACATGCAAACCACAAATGAGCATTCAGAATATTGCAGAGGTAATCATTTAAAAAAAAAAAAAAAAAATCAAATATTATTTACTTGGATAGTAACTATAGTAGAAACCACAATTCCATTGAAGCTGGGACTAGGGCTGTCAAAAACGTATCTTTTTGGATATCTCCACCCATCCATCCATTTTATGATCCATTTATCCTCACAATGGTCACGGGGCATGATTTTGGAATGAGGGAGGAAACCAGAGGACCAGGCGAAAACCTAAGCAGGCATGGCGAGAACATGCAAACCCCACACAGAAGTCCAAAGCCCGAATTCGAACTGATTGGGGTGGGGGGTGCAACTGTTAGTTTGAACATAAATATTTTAGCAAATCTTTTTGTATTCACATTTTATGTCCCAACTGCTTTGGAGTTAGGGTTTGAACATTATTTAACACCAATCATGATGAATTTGCTTCCATGTTTACTGAAGGTGTGGGCCATGACTTTAAATGGCCCTTGAATCAGATTCGTGAGGTCCATCTCCGGCGATACAACCTGCGACGCTCCGCTCTGGAGATCTTCCTTATTGACCAAACCAACTACTTTCTCAACTTCAAGAAAGAGGTGATCTCTATTCTTCCTTAAACCTATGTGACTTTCACTTTTTGATAAGTAGCAATGCAGTAGCTTCGGTGGTTTCCAATTTACAGGCAAGAAATAAGGTGTATGACCGCATGCTGCTACTGCGATCCCTCAGTCTGTATGGAACACGTTCTCCACAAGAGCTCCTTAAAGCCTCCGGATTAACGCAGGTCAGGAACTTTATTGTACAGAATCAATTTCTCATTCGTGTTAGGATAATAAACATTACACTGTAATTCCAGGTTTAAAACTAGACAACTTCATCAAGCATACTGAAATGCTTAATATTTTATCTGCCTTTTGGGTCAAATTGTCCACAGAAATGGGTCAACCGGGAGATTTCCAACTTTGACTACCTGATGCAACTCAACACAATTGCTGGCAGAACATACAACGACCTGGCGCAGTATCCAGTGGTATGTTCACTGACTGAATATACGACCAGTGAAGGATCTGCCAAATGGTTTTACCACCCTTATACCTTTGTTCATAGTTTCCCTGGGTTCTGGCAGACTACACCTCCAAAGATCTGGACCTTTCAGACCCCATGGTATTCAGGGATTTGTCAAAGCCGGTGGCAGTACAGAACAACGACAATGCTAAAGCTGTTCGAGAAAAGTATGTGTATTAAGTACCGTGTATATTATCTATGGAGAGGGATCTACAGTATATTATGCAGTTGCAAGAAAAAATCTGGAATTACGTAGCTGTCTATGAAGTATGGTTGAGGGGTGGCCATCTTTGTTTGGGGCTGCTTTAATGCCTAAGTGCATGGACGCATTGGTACCATTGACGAGAAAATGAATTCCCTAGATTGTCAACACATTTTGTTGGGGAATTTGAGACTGTCTGCCAATTGAAGCGTAACAGAGTATGGTTGATGCGACCTGAAACCCCAAAGGACAAAATTGATTCAAAAACAGAATACCTTCAAGAAAAGAAAATATGCATTCTTAAAATGGCCTAGCCAGAGTCCTGACCTCAACCAGAATGGCCTCTAGAGACTGATGGACACCATGAATCCCAAGAATATTGCAAAAGTGAAATAATTTTGTGAAGTTTTGCGACCAAAGGAGTCTCGACTGGTTCATAATTAGATCCAAAGGCTCACATATTTTTTTTTTCATGCTGCTTGATGTTCACATATTGTGTTCAGTAAAACAAAAACAAAAAAGTGGAAACATGTAATTGTGTGGTGTTAGATGAAGCAGACTGTGTTTTTCTATTGATGTGAAAATACGATCACATTTTAGGACCAATTTAGACACAAGTATCGATAATTGCAGAGGGTTAACATACAGTAGTTTTTCTTGCAAATGTATATTGAAGCTCACTGAACCAGTAGCGCAATTTGTTTGATTCTGTGCTTTTTTTCATGTCTGTCAGGTATGAAAGTTTTGAGGACCCAACAGGAACTGTTGACAAGTTTCATTATGGGACCCACTATTCGAGTGCAGCTGGCGTGATGCACTATCTGATCAGAGTTGAGCCCTTCACCTCCCTACACATCCAGCTGCAGAGTGGACGGTCAGTAGGTTCTCTCATTCTTCAGCATGGTACTAGGATCATAATATCCACCTTTTGTATGATATGTTGCTTCCAGTGTACATCATCTTGTTTCCAATTGTCTTCAGGTTTGACTGTGCCGACCGCCAGTTCCACTCCATTCCGGCAACCTGGCTGACTCTCATGGACAATCCCAATGACGTCAAGGAGCTCATACCTGAGTTCTTTTACTTCCCAGAGTTTCTTGAGAACCACAATGGTGAGGCTCTCTATGCACTCACTCAAAGTTGTGATGTGCAGGGTTACAGCAAGACAATGTTACTTACAATGTTACCTTTGTGCCCTGCTGTCACCCAGACTTTGACCTTGGTCGCCGGCAGATAACCAAAGAAAAAGTAAATGATGTGATTCTGCCCAAATGGGCCAAGTCCCCTGAGGACTTTATCTATAAACACCGCAAAGCCCTGGTGAGCTTTTGTTCTAGTTCATGTGCCCCTTGACTGTGCTTCATTATGCTGTTGAGTGCATTTTGTCTTACAAAGTACAAGTATGAAAAATGGAACTGAATCCTGTGCTTTTTTTCAAGGCTTTCTGATTGTGTGTCTGTGTCACTGTGACAGGAGTCTGAATATGTGTCCGCACACCTTAATGAGTGGATCGATCTGATCTTCGGTTACAAACAGAGGGGTCCCGCCGCAGTGGAAGCCCTCAATGTTTTCTACTACTGCACATATGAGGGTAAAGCACTCTGAGCGGTCATCACAGTTTCATTCTCTCGAGCACTATCTTTCCCCACACTTTTCTTATTTCTGGTATCATGTAAGTATATCACAATAAAAAATATCGATGCACTCCCAGTATTTTATGCCACCTTGCCTTTATAGGAGCAGTAGACCTTGATGCCATCACTGATGAAAAGGAACGCAAGGCCCTGGAAGGCATGATCAGTAACTTTGGGCAGACACCCTGCCAGCTACTCAAGGTGCAGAAAGACCCTTAATCAGTGATTCCCAACCAGTGAGCTGTGGCAGCTTCCAGTCGTGTGCCGTGAGGTACCATCAGGCGTACCGCAGGAACTTAATCTAATTTCATTCAATTTGTCAGAAAATGCTTACCGGTGCTTATGAATTACAACTGCAGTATATCTTCGTTCATCTCTCTATTCCTGCGACATACAGTGAAAGGCGCAACAGTAAAATTAGATGGCAGATGGCACAATAAATTTGTGTATCCACCTGTTGCTACATATGCAACAGAATAAGTCATGTCCTACCGCTTTGTGTTTAATTATACAAGCCCAGATTTAACACAGAATAAGTCATTTGAGACCAGATCATCGTTATTTCAGTATTTTTGCTTAGAGCTGTGCCGTGACGGTTTCATTATGTAAAAGGGGTGCCTTGGCTCAATAAAGGTTGGGAAACACTGCCAAAGATGCATGATATGTTTTCTGGAATAAAGAGCAAGCGTATGAGTTTCATTTTAACTGCATTTGTTTACGTGTGTTTGTGGACGTGTGGGTGAATAGGAGCCACATCCAATTCGTCTTTCTCAGGAGGAAGTGGAGAAGAGGAAGGCTCTCCTGGACTCATGTCCTCTGATCATGTTTGAACACCTCAGCACCCTTAAGTCCTTCTTTGTGGAGGTTTGACCTTTCTCCCATCTTCTTCACATACTATTGAGCATTACATGCCATATCTCACATTGATATTCTCCCCATGTTGCAGGGCATCAGTGACAACGTTCCACTGATCAAAGCTATTGTTCCAAAGAATCAGTCCCACTCCTTCATCAGTCAAGGGAGTCCAGACACAATGGTTGGTATTCTCTAATGTGCTCCTATGTGCTAACATCGACGAATTATTCTTGTTGACGAAAATATATCAGAATTGTTTTCAATGAATTCACTGCAAACAATGACATTTTTCCTGTGCATGTTTTTTGTCAAGGTGACAGTCAGTCAAAACTGTCTGTTTGGGACGCATGGGTGGCTACCTTACAACAAGAATATCTCCAACTACTTCACCTTCATTAAGGACCCCACTGTGTCCCATACCAAGTGAGAATACTGCACCTGCCACAAACAGGCATACAGCCAGTCTATTTGACGCTGGAGAAAATTACTTCTTTCGCCAAGCATGTGTATAAATCATTGCCCACAGGACCCAGCGTTTTCTGCCGGGACCCTTCGCTCCCGGTGTGGAGGTAACAACGAGGCTGTTTGTGATCTCTCACGATGGAAAGTTGCTCTTTAGTGGAGGCCACTGGGACAACAGCCTCCGAGTCACCTCACTTGTCAAGGGCAAGACTGTCGGGCAGCACATCCGGCACATGGGTACTTTAAATAGTAGAGACGTATGCGATTGAAAAAAAATATGGACCCCAATTTCTAGTTCCGTCTGGAAAGCCTTTCCACAAGATTTTGAATTAATGATTATTGTATTAGCCATTTATCCGCTGGTGTTTTTTTAACAAGTCTTTTATTGGATGATACCAACCTGTGTGCATTTCTCCTGGCATCTTATATCTCCTCCAGATATTGTAACCTGCTTGTCAACAGACCATTGCGGCATCCACCTGATTTCCGGTTCCAGAGACACCACCTGCATGGTGTGGCAGGTTCTACAGCAGGTTCGAGCATCATTGGTCCTACCTTGTCACCGCTTAGAACCAGCTAGTGTAACATATTTCTTGCTGCGGCTTGTTTGACTGTGAAAATGATCATCAGCATATTGAAGGGGATTGATCAAACATAACATGTAGAAAGAGTAACTCCTACAATGGATTTGACTCTTCTCTCTTCCTGTAGGGCGGTGCTCCAGTAGGTCTGCATCCTAAACCTGTTCAGGTGCTATATGGCCACACAGATGAGGTGGTCAGTGTTTGCATCAGCACAGAGCTGGACATGGCTGTGTCTGGAGCACGGGTGAGGGTTACGACACAAGCTGTCAGGTCACAAGTTTCATTGTGGCAAATATCATCTGAGTCATGTTGTGCTTTCGGCAGCACAGTTAAATCAATAGTTTGCATGATGCATAATAAAGTTTGACAACTGAAATGAAACTGGTTCAACAGAACGGCTTAGATTATTTTTGACAGTCACATCACATGTTCGCGCGACCACTTTGCTCGGCGGAAATTGCGGTGCAAAAAAATGTACATGCTAATGATATGCTGGCTGAGCTATTTGAGCGGCTATCTTGAGGCTGATGGTTTGTGCCCGGCCTACCTATCTCCCTTAATCATCTGAGAGAAAGGTGAGACATATTGGAGGGGAAACAGCACCATCTGGTGTTGACCCATTTCCGTACTACTGAGGTTGACTTCGCAAATCAAATCCACATATTGCTGGCGTTGGGTAGAGCCCTCCTATATCCAAATTTCGTCATTTTCATATTTTTTTTCACAAATTGATACAGTTGGTCAAGCTCCACATGGGTTGTTATTTTAACAAGTTGCCGAACAATATAAATTGACAAAGCAATGTTAATGGCTCAACAACCATGTCATTTTCGACATGGCAGGTTTCCACCCGACACCAGCATTACATAGCATGTTGTTCTTGTAGTTTTGCTGCGGATTCCATCACAAAGGACAAATGTTTAATTAAGCCTTGTTGGAGGTCTGTGCTCGTAATGCTCCTGACTCTTTCATCTTTGTGTGCATCAGGATGGGGTAGTGATCATCCATACAGTGCGCAGAGGTCAGTATGTGCGTTGCTTGCGACCGCCATGCGACAGCTCCTTGCCCCTGTCTGTCCTCCATTTGGCTGTGTCCTGGGAGGGTCATCTGCTGGTCCACACCTGCTTGGAGGGCAAAGCAACACTAAAAGTGTGTAACTGTATTTTGGAATTTAGTTTTATCTAATGTTTCAACATCTTCGAAATGGATTGAGGTATTCTTTTCTTGTCACAGGATAAAAACGCCCTCCACCTTTACTCTGTCAATGGGAAGCACCTTTGCAGTGAACCTCTGAAGGATCAGATGACCGACATGTGCGTTTCCAGGGAGTTTGTTGTTACTGGCAGTGAGCAAGGCTACTTGTCCATTCGAGACCTCTACAGGTAAACCCAAGCCTGAAATCGATCACATTACTAGTACATTACTAGTACTGTTTCCCTGTCAATCTATAGCCATCATCATATAGGTTTATGGCAATGTTTTAGTTCCATGATTAAGTGTCATCATCGAGTACATTTAACCAGACAAAATTACTGGCGAAAATGAAGATTTAATGCAACGGTAGCTTGCAGAAGAGAAAAACATCATGCATCCCATTTTTAACATTTATACATTCCACAAGTGTGAAAAGAGGTTTATCTCTGTAAAACCTTCAAACCATTCAACACTCTCTCTTGGCTTTGATATCTAGTAACAGAATGGATGGTATCATTGGACACAATTTTGAGAAACTGCTATATTTGTACTGCTATTTGCCTTTGCTTACTTTACGTAAATTTGGTTGCTGAAGCGCTGCTACCGACATGCAGAAGTTCACATCCATAACCATTTGTCTGAATTTCCATAGTTTATGCATTTTGTCAAGAGCATTGCTGCTGTACAGTTTTTGCGAATAAGATCAAAAGAATTCTGAATATTGTTCATATGCACAACATAATCATCTATAATCAGAATCTGAATCATTGGCACCGCCCTACCCACTCTTGAGGACTTGCACACTGCAAGAACCAAGACAAGGGCACGGAAAATCCTACTGGACCCCCCACACCCTGCCCACCACCTTTTCCAGCTACTCCCCTCAGGCAGGCGTTACCGATCCATGCGCACCAAATCCAGCAGACACTTAAACAGCTTCTTCCCTCTAGCCATTAACTCCCGAAACAGTAACCCAAATCTACCTGTATCGTGGCTCTTTGCGTTTTTGCACACCCCTGTGGAACAGCATCCCGTTATAGTTATTGTAGCTTCAGCTCTGTACTCACTTGAACCACTGTCACTGATCTCTCTTTCACAGCACCAGACACTTTAACGCGCTCAAGGACATCTGCATAATTGCACACTTGTTGTACTACAAATACTGCTACTGGTCACTTTAAAATGGTTCAATGATTTTCTACACCAACTGTACAACTGTTAGAGTATTTTATTCTGCCACTGATCACTTTAACTCTGCTTGGTACTTTGTGCATTGTCTCACAGTTGTCACTGGGTGGTACCACCGCACAACAGTTCACTTTCATTACGGAATGTACTTCCATACTTATTTGTCATGTCCTTGTTTATGATGATACTAGTGCAGCGTGTTCTCCCGGAGACAAATTCCTTGCGTGTTCTACATACTTGGCCTATAAAGATGATTCTGATTCTGATCAATGTTAGATGTAGTTCCCATATTTTCCGCACTAAAAGGCGCACCTAAAAGCCTTCCATTTTCTTAAAAGCTCACACCACACCTTAAAATCCAATGCACCTTATGTATGGTTATTACGGTAATATGTCGACCCCAAAATGGCTCCTTGCTAGAGACATGCTTACATGCTTACAATGCAGAGTTCAAACTTAAGGCGATCAGGTTACGCAGTTGAACACGGAAATAGAGCAGCGGCAACAGAGTTCAATGTTAACGAGTCAATGTTATAACTTGCTGTTAGTTAAGTGAACTGTGTCGCTCCTTTATTAAATAATAAATCTGATCGTTCTGGAGCAACGACACTCAACAACTAAGCTATCTTAGCTGTTTTGGTTTGTTCAAAGCTTCTTTGATCTGTGACAGGGGTTGCGTCAGCGCTGATTGGTTGAACCACATGTGTATGTGCCACGCACAGCAGAGAGCAGCGGACTTTGGACTGCTGAGGCTCGCTTCACTCGAGTGGCGTTGCTACAGTTCTGTTGGCATTTCCTTGAGCGTAGCTCCATCTAGTGGATGCATTGTAGATTGCGTCTTACAGTGCTGTGCGTCCAATATATGAAAACAAGTACAAAAATAGGCCATCCTTTGAAGGTGCGCCTCATAATCCAGTGCGCCTTTTAGTGTGGAAAATACGGAAATGTAGCTTCAAATTTTTTGTATTGGAATGAATATATTCACTGCATCAACCTCGCATTTGCAGCCTGATTCAATCAGAGTATTTTATGAGATTTCACCGTGCCATCGTCAAAAATATCTCATTCTATTTCGACTGCAATGAATTGCTCTCATTGTGCGATCAATAAACAGTCTTGTGGTTGTCTGCAGTCTGTCGCTATGTGCGGAGCCCATGGCCATGCGTGTGCCTGTGCGCTGTGTATCCGTCACCAAGGAGCAGAGTCACATCCTGGTGGGCCTCCACGATGGCAAGCTGATCATCGTGGGCGTGGGCAAGCCAGCCGAGGTAAAGAACTCGCTGAGGAACTACATCGCTCAGAGCCTGGAGGGATCGCCGCTCATGGCCTCCCCCTTGCTGGCCTCGCTTCGAGCTCGCTCGCCCACTCGCCTACTGCACCAGCGAGACCAGCTCGTGTTCAGCCCCGCCTCTGTCACCGACAGACCATAGCAGCCCTAGTCCAGTTCCCAACTGGCCCTATTTCAAGTGTTGATTGGATGTTGATTACCAGAAGTGTCATTTCTTTATAATGCCGAAAACCAATCTTGCGCAACACTAATCGCTACTTCTACTAGCCGTATTCCTGCATAATGTAAGCTGATAATCTTGCACTGATCTTGAGTTTTATTTTGTTGTTAAAGTCAAATTTATATGTTGCCAGACAGTAAATGACAAAATATCCTCACTGAATGTTTTATTGTACATAGCAAAATAGCAGAAATTGGTCTAGACAGGAAATCATTACACACCTTTCCCTTTTTTCCTTTTCACAACAAAAGGAATCAACATTTGATGTTTATTTATTGCTTGACTAACAATCAAATGTGAATAACTAATCACACATAAATCATATCCCCTTCTCTCTTGTTTCTTTTGGCTTTATACTTATTCTCTCCCTCCTCCTCCATCCTAATTACTCCCCCCTCCCTACTCCACTTCCTCTACCTCGGTCCCTCGCAGCTGCGTTCAGGCCACATCACGCGGAAGCTGTGGGGCTCCACCAAGAGGCTGACCAGGATCTCCTCAGGGGAATCGGACGTCATCATCTAGCATGAGCACCATCCCTGCCCTTCCTTTGCTCAATCCCTAAACGAACCCCCGCTGCTGCCCCCCGCCTCCTATGGTCACCCTCCATTCGTGTCACACGCCGCACCTCCATTCATGTCAACTTGCCTCATTCTGTCACATCCAAGTGAAATGTGCTCCAATTTTCTTTCCTGTGGTTTGACCAAATGGCGCTGGCGCCGCGGTTCAGATCCAGAGGCAGCTTAAGCTTTCAGTATCAGCCCACCACCTCTTCATATTGTTTTTGTTTGTGTCTTTATATTTTCAAGTGACCTTCCTTTAGTTTGCCTTTGGTGCAGAGAGGCCGGATGTTTCCTCAAAGCTGCCACTCAGCAGTCCTATGTTGCGAGACAGCTCACATAGAAGATCAAAATTCTCTGCCATTCGATTTGTCGTATCGTCTTTTTCGTTGAGCTTCTTGTTTTCCAGCAAATGCACGTATGCACCCTGTAGCCGGTATTAGCTCATGTGAAATGGCGTTTTAGATTGTGAATTGTCACATAGCCATTGAATCATTGCGTGGCGCTGTCATGGCAGGAGATGAGACTTGTAGAGATAACACAAGCAGTCTGTTTGGTGAATGTTTTTGAGTTACTAAGATACGTTTTACTTATAGGAAAAGTAGCATTTTGTAAGCTCTCTTTGTTGTTTCTGACACAGTTTAGGAATTCTCCAAGGGCTCCGCCAGATGGTAATAGCAATACTGTGTTGGGTGCTTTTGTCGCCATGCATCATTTCAACTGCATACTCCTTTTGTCTTCCTGCAGCCACTCTCTTACCCCGACTGTTAGCCGTCATTGTTGCTTCCAAAACAAATCAAATGTTTGTTTTCATGACACTACACATTCGTCCTGTTAACAGGTTACATTTTACACCAAGTGTTTTTGTCGATTTGAACACTAAAAGCCACAGTGTGAAGATCCTACGGGGACTGTGATCTGAAATGTGTGCGAGTTAAGAAGTGGGTGTAAGGGCATGTCAGGGGTGACAGCTGTTAGTGTTACTAAGCCAAAGTGTCCCTCCGGCACGTTGACACAGTCTTTTGATTCTCTGATTTGTTTCGTTTTCTTTTTTTGTTGTTGTTGTTCATTTGCATCTGACGTTAAGTTGTAAGACTTCCAAAAAACGGAGTGCCTTTATCAGAAGGGGGTTCTCATGGATTTGGTATTCCTGAGAGGAAGTGACTTAAGACGAATGACAGCCTGTGTTGTATCTGCATCATTCTCCATGACTGTCACCAAATTGATATGTGTATATCTGTGATTATTTATGAATACAATATAAATACGTAATGTACAGCATGATTTTTATTTTTTCTATGTTTATCAAATGTACTTTTGCACTTTCCAGGTACTCCTATTGTAAGACATTGTTTTAAATTGGCTCCCTAATCTGTACATTCAGAACTTGCTTTGCCAACACACAAACTGAACGTGATCATTAAAGTGTTGTCTTGATTTAGACATCAAGTGTACGTAACGTGTAGTGTTTTCTGTCTGAAGCCGTATTAAGAAGAGTGAAGACAGGGACCCAGGTTTAGGATGCGTTTATGGTTTTAATGAGCATTTGAATCTGCTGGTGTTATGGAGAAATGTCAGAGCAAGATGTCAGCTTGTATTTTTATGCAGCTATTTGGTATGAGCAGATGGATGCTCTCTTCAGATCGCAGTCAGCGGCTGTCCACCAGCTTTCATCTGAAAGACAGTGTTGGGACACATGGGCCAAATTGTTTCGTCACCATGAAGTTGTTCTTAGCACCACAGTGTAAAGACTGACTTTGCACTGTATCAATAGATAGCAAACATTTTCTGTTATCTGAGTCTGTCCAATTAACCCCTGATTAATAGTGCAGATGAAAGTGTGAGGTCATCAAAACTGCCTCAAAGACTTATGCAATAAGAGCAATTCATTTTTAGTATTGAGGAGGAGGGGTTGCTGTGCACTGTAGTTACATTTTCAATAATGTACTTTGTTTTTATCATTGAATTGAATACAACTTTATTGTCAAATGATGAAATTTCTTCCCTCTCAACATAAAACGAGAGGAGCCGCTGCGGGTGTGCTCTCTCTGCTTAACTGGTATGGTTAAAATTCTCCAATTTTTAACTTCAGTGTCTTTAGGTGCTTAAAAATGTACATTTCACAAACATTTCACGATTGCATGCCAGTTTGCTTGTTTGACGAACAAATAAAATGTAGGGTCATGAATCTGAACACAAAACTGCTCTTAACACTATTGTAAGCTGTTATTACAGAAATTTTCAGTACGGTTATTGCATAACAGCTCTTAGAATGTAATCACTAAAAATATTCGCATGTTTATATTTGTCATACAGCAGCGGGACATGAACTCGAATTTGGCCTTGGTAAAGAAAGATGTATGATGCCTGTGTAGAGTATTTGTAGTGTCTCACCTATCTTGAACATCTCCACGCAGACAGGCTTGTCCGTGTGAATGTTGGGATGACCCGGCATCCAGTCACTGTAATTCATCTCTGAGCCATCGAGCCAGGAGGCCTGCTGGTTCTGCAGCATTTGAAATATTTGTACATTGTGTGACAATTCAGTCTGCAACCGATATTTTGTAAAATATTTAAAGGCAGTATTAGTTGTGGTATGGTTTTCATTGATAATGACCTCAACTGTCTGACATCAACGCAGCAAGAAACATTTACCTAGAGGTCCAATGGTCAATGTTTGAACCAAGGTAAGAATAACACTGTTCTGAAGATAACATATCTGACGAGACGATCCTTGCCCTTCATTCATGGTCACAGTGCCCCATTAATAAAAACTGACAGGAGACACTTTATATCCCATGAGTTGAGGCCCATTTGCTTAGTTCAGTGTATCAGTATGTTTTCAGTGTTGGGTGGATGAAAGGGACTTGCCTTAACCGTGGCCCCCAGCCACGTCAACTGTGGGCTGCGTTCACCGCCATTGGTAACCAAGGAAACTAGGCGCGAATGAAGGTCGCCACTTGTTACAGATGCCAGCTCAGCGTGTGGGTTATGAGCTTTACATAAATCCTGCAGACACACCGTGCATCATCATATCATTTGCACACAATAAACCACATCACCGAAGAAGGGTTGATGTAAAAAATGGAATCACCTGTGCTTCTGTAAAGCCCAAAGGTGTTGGGTTGAACTCATAGCACTTTCCATTAATGACTTCCCCTTGACATGTCTGTGTTGGGAGCCAGGAGGTGGAACGGTCCTGTCCCTTTGGGGTTTGAACTATCGGTCCTGTTCCCTGTCTGAAGTCCTCTGGCATGTGAAGAGATGGTTGTGTTCCCTGTCTAAACCCACTGGGGATATAGTTAGTCGGCTCAGTTCCCTGCCTGAAAGTACCAGGGTTGGAAGCTATGGGCTCAGCCTCCCATCCTGAGCCACTAATGATAGAGTCTGAAGGTTCAGTTCCCTGTCTGAAACCATCTGGAATACGCATGGAAGGTTCCGTTCCCTGTCTGAAACCGTCTGGAATTGTCAAGAACGGTTCGCTCCCTTGTCTGAAACCATCTGGTATAATCATTGAAGGTTCCGTTTCCTGTCTGAAACCATCTGGAATGGTCAAGAAGGGTTCGGTTCCCTGTCTGAAACCATCTGGGATAATCATGGAACGTTCCGTTCCCTGTCTGAAACCATCTGGAATGGTCAAGAAGGGTTCGGTTCCCTGTCTGAAACCATCTGGGATAATCATGGAACGTTCTGTTCCCTGTCTGAAACCATCTGGAATGGTCAAGAAGGGTTCGGTTCCCTGTCTGAAACCATCTGGGATAATCATGGAACGTTCTGTTCCCTGTCTGAAACCATCTGGAATCGTCAAGAAGGGTTCGGTTCCCTGCCTGAAACCATCGGGGATAAAAGCTGAGGGCTTAGCTTCGAGTTTCAAGTCACCGCTGATAGGTATTGTAGGTTCTGTTCCCTGTCGGAAACCTTTTGGGAGAGAAACTACTGGTTCACTTCCCTGTCTGAAACCATCGGGGATCGACATGAAAGGTTCGGTTCCCTGTCTGAAACCGTCTGGGATCGACATGAAGGGTTCCGTTCCCTGTCTGAAACCTTCTGGAAGGTGAGACGAAGAGGGTTCCTCAACTCGAACCCAACCACCTCCGTTCCTCTGAGCAGGCACATCAATAGGGACTGAAAGACATTTTGGAGACTCCAATATGTCAATATAGTTGGATACTTGAGATGTTTGTGAATAAATATGTTTTACTTCACTTTTTGTTAATAGTCACTGATTTGCAAATTACCTTCATCCGCCAGCCAGTGTTTTCTCTCCACCGGTCCTGATTTCTCTTCAATGAGGTTGTGGGCGAGAGCTATACATGATCATTGAGTAAAAGCCCATGTTATTTAAGTTGTACAATATGTAAACCAAACTATTGAGACAGACCTCTGAATTTTGTTAACAAATCAACCTGGGGTGGGTTTTAAACCACTTAATTAGTCATCATTCCAACCATGACATTTATGCTTCCAATTTTGTGGGAACAGTTTGGTGAAGGCCCAAATACGTTTGTCCTTTTGGTTTTTGCTGCTATGTACCTGTCCTTCTGGTAATCTCGTTGATGTGGTCCTGCACCAGGCCGTTGTCAACAAATCCCTTGGATGGCTCAGTGCCTTGGTGAAAGCCATCAGGAATATGTCCAAGGATGTCATTCTGCTGAGAGTCATCAGAGAGCCCGAAGGGAGATGACGGCTTGGGCAATCCTCTCAGAGGTGCGATGGGAGCAGCTCGCAGTCCTGTGGAGGAATTTAGTCATGGGCGTCATTAGGCCTATTTTAGGGAGGCTTCAGCCTCCCTAAAAATGTCTTTAGCCCCCCTAAATAATTTCATTGCATTATTTAAAAAAAAGTATTATTTATTTTTCCTGTACTTTTGCTAATATATTGCATCAAATTCAATGTAATGTGGCCATTTTAAATTATATTTCGATAACCTGCCATTATTGTAATATTAATCTCCCAGGATTCCTGAACGCAACAGGTGTTGCGTTAGCATTTGACGTGTCTGTCACCATCACCACATCAAATGCTAACGCAACAACTGACAGTTCATTGCCGAAAGTCAGGTTGAGTCGACAGCATGGATATTCGACAGTTTTTTAGAAAGGTAAATTAAGTATTCAATGCATCCATGCTGGTAAAACTAGTGACTATAGTCC